AATCCTTGCTGATACAGGATGGTCTTGGAGATCACCTCCATGGGAGGCCTTCACTGGACACCCCTTCCCCTCCCCGTCCCTCTCACATGCATGCGCAGTGCCGGTCACGCACTGTGTGGGCCCAGGGCGCCTCCTGGTCTGGGTGTAATTATCACCTATCAGTCTCCCACTTTTATTGGATTCCCAGCGGACAGAAGTTAAGTCTTATTTAAGTTTGTACCTACCTCAGTGTCTCCTCTATGGCCAGGCATGCAGTAGGTTCAGCCATTTATTCAACATCTATTTATCGAGTGCTTCCCATATGCCAGCCATGGAGACTCATGTTCTAGAAAAGAGGAATATAGCCACGATAAAATACCGCTTCTCATGAAGGTGACATGCTAAGGGTGAAAGGAGATAGTCAATGAATAAGATAAGCAAAATCACACACACACACACACACACAGTGCTTCCTGAAGGACTCCCTGTGACACACAGACACACACACACACCCACACACTCACACTCACACACTCACAGTGCTTGCTGATGGACTGCCTGCCTGTGACACACACACACTCATATACAGTGCTTACTGAAGGACTACCTGTGAGAAACACACACACACACACTGACACACAGTGCTTCCTGAAGGTCTGCCTGTGACACACACACACGCACACACTCACACACACACATACAGTGCTTGCTGATGGACTGCCTGCCTGTGACACACACACACGCACACACTCACACACACACATACAGTGCTTGCTGATGGACTGCCTGCCTGTGACACACACACACGCACACACTCACACACACACATACAGTGCTTGCTGATGGACTGCCTGCCTGTGACACACACACACGCACACACTCACACACACACATACAGTGCTTGCTGATGGACTGCCTGCCTGTGACACACACACACAGGCCTGAGAACTACAAAGGCCCTCAGACCCCCCTCAACATGCTGCTCTGCTGAGAGGAGAGGCACACGTTTGCGAGTGTCCTGTCTTCTGGATCCCAGCTGCTGACTGTCATCTCAGGCTTAGGGGAACATAGATCACACTCCTCTTTTTATTGATCAGATTATATATAGGGGCGTGCTAGAACCAGCTACACAGCAATGTGCTTTCGGGATGTTATTTTTGTGCTGAATAATGAACAGCTAACTCTTTTTGGGGCGCTGGCAGTGTGCCTGCCACTGTTCTAAGCACTTCCGGCGGATTATGTCATTTAATCCTCAGAACACCCTCGGGAGACAGGCACTAGCCCCGCTTGCACACCCGGAAACGGGCACACAGCTGTGTCCCTGGCCCCAGATTCCGCAGGTAGAAGGGGTCCACTGCAGACTGTCCTGCCTGGAGACTCTGCTCCTCTGCCCAGGGGATGATGAAATCAGAGCAAGCGCAGCCTTTTCCTTCGTCACCGGGTGTCCATGCCAAGCCAGTACCCCTCGGTGCGCAGGTGCCCTCTGCCCGCGAGAGGTCCCGGGACCTCCCTGACAGGACACAGGCTCCCAGGCAGGCGGCCACCAGTACTTTTCTCTCTGCATTTGGTCTGGCCTTCTATTGGGACCTTAAAGTTTTTGCTTGTTTTGTTTTTTAATATGTTCTTACTGATTTTAGAGAGAAAGGAAGGTAGTGGCAGAGAGAGAGTACCATTGATATGAGAGAGAGAGATCAACTGACTGCCTCCTGCATGCCCCCTACTGGGGATCAAGCCCATAACCCGGCCATGTGCCTAGACTGGGAGTCAAACTGGTGACCTTTTAGTGCACAGGATGATGCTCAACCAACTAAGCCACCCTGGCCAGGGTGGGACCTTTAAATTTTTAATACCTGTATTAATAGTTCTTTAACTTATATTTTTTATTCTAAAGTACAAAACACTGACTAAGCCCTAACCGGTTTGGCTCAGTGGATAGAGCATCGGTCTGCAGACTCAAGGGTCCCAGGTCCGATTCCGGTCATGGGCATGTACCTTGGCTGCGGGCACATCCCAGTAAGGAGTGTGCAGGAGGCAGCTGATCGATGTTTCTCGCTTATCAATGTTTCTAACTCTCTATCCCTCTCCCTTCCTCTCTGTAAAAAATCAATAAAATATATTTTTAAAAAAACCAACACTGATTAAAAAGCATTTTTTCGGGGGAAAGGAAGAGAGAGAAGGCTAATGAGCTGCCGAAGGGGAGCCCAGCGGAAGGGACGGTGCTGCTCTCTGCTTAGCAGCCGCGGTGGCTCTTCTCCAGCCCTTTGCTCACGAGGCACGGAGCACCGCCACGTGTGGTTCCCCCTGCCTTCTCTGCGCGATGACTCGCCCTCCCGTGTTGGGCAAGCGGAGACTTGGATGGCAGTGATGAGGTCGCTTGCACTAGTACACCCGGCAGGATTTGAACCCAGCTCCGGCTGCCCATGGTTTTAATACTGTTATGGTTTCTCACAAGCAGTCCTCAGGACCCTTTCTTCAAAGAACCCGTGCTTGGACCTCAGAACGTTAGGAGTCCACATGGGGCCTGGAGCCCCGCTGCTTTATTTCACCCCAGTCAGACTCCCACCCAGTGCCCGCATCCGTGGGCCTCACGGGGACCCCCGGAGTCTGCGGAGCATTTGCTAAAAGTCTGTGCTGTCGTGGATGCTGACCAGTTGATGAACTCACCCCTCGGAGGATAAATGCAAGCTCTAGGTCTTCCTCTCGTTGCCAGGGAGACTGAGTCCCGCCCCTCCGGGAAGGTCCTCCCCTTCCCTCTCTCCCCTCCATGATGTTGAGCAAGTAACTCACCCTCTCTCTCTTGGAAGTTTCGGTTTCTTATCTTTAAAATGGGAACAGAATTAGGATGATGGTTATATCGGTATTACAGCCCGGTGCCTTTCAACAAAGGCTAGTTCACTGCTGTTACTAGGGTGCCTCATCCCCTCTCCGGTTTCCACGAGGAGAGATTGTTGCCAAACCCTCCTGGCCTCTCACAACACCGGCGTCTTTCCCTCCCCGACTGATTATTGAGGAGAATAAACTGGGCCCCTTTCTCCTCTTGGGCGGGAACGTGCCTGAGGGCTTACCTCAGTAGGCATCTAATCTGAGGGTTTGGTTAGCTGTCTGCAGTTCTCACGCTGAGCCTCGTTCTGCATAATTAGTAACAAATGGGATATGGTAGCATTTCATCTTCTGATTCTGTTTCTCAATTCATTTAGAAATTGAGCAGGAAAGCAGTATGGAACTTGTTTCTTTAATATTCTAGAATTAGTATGTGCTCTCTCCCTCCTCAATTCTCATAGAGTCAGGATTTTCATATTGAAAGGAGACCTTTTATTTATTTATTTATTTATTTATTTATTTTTATTTCTTAAAGTATTACAAAGAGTATTACACATGTCTCCTTTTTTCTCCCCCTTGACATTCCCCGGCTTTCCCCACCCCCCAGTGTCTTGTGTCCATTAGTTATTCTCATATGCATGCATATAAGTCCTTCGGTTGATTGTGAAAAAGGAGACCTTTTAAACGACTGAAATTTATTTCGCCTTCTCATCACTGAGCCTGGCGCAGGTGGTCATTCAGCCCTGGCCTGCGTACTCCCCTGATGAGCAGGCAGCTTTCTCGAGGGGCGGCTCGGGGGTCTGGCTGGGGATGCTTCTCGATCTATCGGCTGGCATTCCCTGAGGAGGTTCTGGTTCCGCAGTGCTGGGCCCTCGAAATGCGCGGCTTAGGGTTTCTTTGGGAGAAAGTGTTGGCCTGAAGCCTGAGGGCGAGTGAGTGTTCTGCGTGGTTTGGGCATCAGACCCCAAGAAATTTCCCACCACCTCAGTGGGCCTGCTGCATCCTGAGGAAATCCTAGTGTGCGGCCTGTCTTAGAGGAAGCAGGAGAAGGAGCCGCAAAGCCCTTTGTTAACCTCCTGGCCTCGCCGCTCCTGGTGGGCGCTGTGAAGTGTGGCTCCCGGGATGTCTCCTGAGGGCTGATTACTGGCCTCAAATAAAACTGCCAGTGAAATCCTGCTCTCTGAGAGGGTAGCGGAGAGCTCAGAAAACTCCCTCAAATAGCCTCCCCCAAACACACCGCCCAGACTGACTGACCGGCTGGGCTCCTGTCTGCTCTTCGCAGCTTTAACGACACATAATCCGCACCCCCCGAAACGGGCCTTCCTGAAGTGTTCAGGTCAGTGGTTCTAGTATATTCATAGATTTGTGGAACCATCACCATCACCAGTTTGGAACGTTCTCATGGCTCAGAGAAGAACTGCTGCCCCGTTAGCATTCCGCCTCATGTCCCCTCCCCTCCCCCACCCGTGGGAACCACCAGGGCTTCCTGTCTTGTGGATGTACCGATTCTGGACATTTCATATACCGTAACGGCATCATACCACGTGCAGGCTTTGTGTTGGCTTCTTTCACTTAGTGCAATGTTTTCAAGGTTTACCATGCTGTAGCACGGATCATGGCCGAGTCATATTCCATTGACGGGGCCTGCCACATTTTGTTTATCCATCCTTCAGTTCATGGACATTCAGGCTGTTTCCACTTTGGGGTATTATCAATAATGTCTCTAAATATTCATGTACAAATTTTTGTGTGGTGGGCAAAAGGAGATTCACAGCCGTTTGTATGGGTAAGGACCGGCAGGTTATGATCATTACAATAGCATTATTAGCTCTGTGTTTTGCACACTCTCAACTGTAAACCTGCTTTTATCCAGCCTGTGTTGGTAGAATTACTAGATCATAGTCCCTTAAAAACCTTTCAAAATTGCTTTTTCTTTTTTTGGTTGGCTATTCTTGAGCCCCTATTTACTGCCTCTGTGCCGAATGCTGTCTATGACTTGATGTAAAATTAGCACATCTGGGAGCCAGTTTAAAGTTCTTAAAGAACTAGTTCTTTGTAGAAATAATTAAAAATTCTTCAAGTGAGGATAAACGGAATCACAAGGATGCTTACTATTGTCTTCAGGAGAGTGCATTCGCCTTTATTCTCTTCTTTCCAAGCTTCTGTTGGAAGATTTACAAAGACTTTGTTTTCTTTTGCAGAATCGCAATGAAATAAAAAATGGCACCATCCTTCGATTAACCACGTCTCCGGTGAGTAGGTCTTCGTGTGTAGCTTTCCCATAAACACTTCCTCCCCTGTTCCTCTACATGTGATTGTGGACATTCATGTGTGAAGATGACTTTAGTGCAGAGCGGAAGGTCCCTGGAACACCCTCACACGCAGATTGCGGATAATCAGGAACGCTCTCCCTGTATTTCCCACTACAAGACAGGCAAGCCTCCCTCCAGGTCAAGTGCGGACACATACAGTGACTTTCAGTTTGAGTTTGCGTGTCATCTCCACCGTCCTCACAGTACAGAAGGGATCACTCAGCTGTACTGACTGGCTTTTATCCACCACCTGCCCACATGCCCACCTGCGCCCTCGGAGCAAATTTAGACAAAAGACAAAGCAGACAAGACCAAAGGCAGCCTGTTACTTCCCCTTAAAGTCTAAGTCAGAGGGTGTGCGCGTGTGCATTTGTGTGTGTGTGTGTGTGTGTGTGTGTGTGTGTGTGTAAGAGAGAGTTTAAGCATTTTCTAGTTTGGTCAGTCATTACAATAGTTCATAGAAATGTAGTTTAAGAAGTGTTTGCACGCCTGCTGTTTCACTGACAGCTGACTCTGGATACAACACCTTTAAAGTCTTCCAAATAAAAGCTGCTAAACCAAATGCTACAGAATGTTTAGCTACTGACTGCATTGCTTATCTTTATCTTTCTCACTTCCTTGTAGATACTTTAGGTAGTACCATTAGCATATTTGAACTATATCCGTTCACAGTGCATTTTTATTGCTTTCCTAAAAAAACTAATCTTCAGAAAATACACCAACTGTTACTATTTTCACTGCAAATGCGTTGAAAACTGTGTCTGACTCGCGTTTTCAGTTTCTCCTGCAGCCATGTGGTGGCTAAAAATAAATGTGAAAACAGGGAAAGGCATCTGGCTGAAATTAAATTGTGGGGACTGTAACTACCACAGATTTTTCTTGTTGGAAATTATATTAAAGAGGCTTAAAAATCCCCTAAACATTCGACCCAATCACATCTTGAACCTAAAACCAGTGATGAGCTCAACAGAGCGCGTGGCCGGAGTTGGCTGGACTGCCTTTCGAAGCCCTCTTTCCCACTTAATGGTAATTATAATTTAGACTCATTTTTCAGCAGCTGCATGATGAGCTGAGACATTTTTGCCTGATGTAGCATTGATCTTCTTACTTGAGTCAGCAAGAATTCATGCTAATTTGACCTTTCGAGACCACAGTTTCCCTTGGTTTTTATCGTTTCTGTTTATCCTGCTAACACTGCTCATTTTCTTGCTGGGCAGAAAGGGTACATCTTCTTGTTATTTCATCTTAGAATTAGAGAGGCTCGGTTTCTTTGTGCTTGTTTATTAAACCCAGGCCTTCTCTGGCCAGAGAAGTCCGTTTTCGTTTTTATTGCCATGTGCTCATGAACCAGTTTCCACAGGCGAAGCCAGTCCTGCGAGGAGGCTCGGTGCTGGGCAGAGGGGGATTACTCAGCACCCTGAGCGTGAGCGTGCAGACGCTGTGGCACGGCCTGGCCCTGGCAGCGCAGTGGGGCTTGTGCTGCCCAGGCAGTGGCCCGGGCAGGCCCAGCATGGTCAGGGACGGATGGAAAGCCCTGCGGAAGGCAGTGTTATAAGATGGAGTCCACCTGCAGAAGACTGGCTCACATTCCCTAAAGGGCGGTGTTCCCCAAACAGGAATCACTGGACGAGCGTTCACAATGCTGATGTCACCTGGCGCGTGTGGCCCCGTGTTTGAGTGTCGAACTATGAAACAGGAGGTTATGGTTCAATTCCAGGTCAGGGCACATGCCCAGGTGGTAGGCTCGATCCCCAGTAGGGGGCGTGCAGGAGGCAGCCGGTCAATGATTCTCTCATCAGTGATATTTCTCTCTCTGCCTCTCCCTTTCTCTCATAAATCAATAAAAAACATAGTTTTAAATGCCAATATCTGGCCTTCTAATGAGAAGCTGACTTACAATGTATAGGTCCAGGAATCTGCATTTTAAGAGAGCACTTTAATAGTTTGGCTGTAGCCACAGTGTCTAGAATTGGGAATTACTGTATAATAAGTGAGATATTTTGAATTTGTAAAGTTCACTTGTTGCTGGTGGATTTTTTTATTATTTTGTGTTTAACTGGAAAATATGGCTCAGCATATGCTAACTCTTTCACTTTTTACATGTGTAGTAAAAATAGGTTAAAAATAACTGTCTCCATCACATTGGCTAGGAAGTGTTAGAGAGCGTCATAAAGAACCAGCAGCTGGTGTTACACCAGCTTTTCCAGTCCTTTCATCTGTCTTGGCTCTCTGTAGCCAGACAAGGACATGCACACGCACATGTGCACACACATGTACAGCTGTACTGGGTTTTACAGAACTATCAGAGGTGCTGTTTGTGCTGGCTTTGGTTGATGAATTTGTTTTCTGTCTTCCTCTATCATAGAACAACCCTTTCTGATTGTCCCTAGCAGAATAGGGGATTCATAAGAGAAGATCTATAAAAACAACCTGCACTGTTATTCTTATAAAAGCCCTTACACCTGGCCGGTGGCCCTCCTCTGCATTGCACACTTTATTTTTATTTTATTTTATTTTTTGTTAATCCTCACCCGAGGATATTTTTCCATTGATTTTAGAGAGAGTGGAAGAAAGAGGGAAAGACAGAGAGAAATATTGATGTGAGAGAAACACACTGATTGGTTGTCTCCTGCATGAGCCCTGACCAGGACCTGGGCAGGGGAGGAACCTGCAACTGCGATATATGCCCTTGACCCAGAATCGAACCCAGGACCCTGGTCCGCAGGCTAACGTTCTATTCACTGAGCCACACCGGCCAGGGCGGCCTTGCACACTTTATACAGTACCTCGAGTGGTCACCTTAAACACATGTGCCTCTCAGGTGTCATGGCTTTACCCATCTCCCCATGGAAATTGCCACGGAAATAAAGCATGGACATGCCTAGGAAATGGGTGCAGATGGGTGTGTTTGAGCAGCCAGGGTGCAAGTGGAATCTGTCACGTGTTGCCTGAAGCAGCATATAAATATGCATTTGGCCACTGTTGTATTTGAGGAAGCTTGGGGTTGCCAGACCCTTGGTTTTACTTCCCTGAAATTTTGTTTTAAAAAGTCCCTACAGTGAATCTATCTGTAGTCTCGCAGTGAGAAAGGCCTCTCTAAATACAACACAAACCCCAGGAGCCACAAAGGAAAAGATTGACACATTTGACAGCGACAAAATAAAAACCACACAAACTTGATGTTTGGAAAGAATTCCAGAAACAAATTCAAAACCACCGCATTAGGAAAAACAGTTGGCAATATGCGTGACAGATAGAGTGCTAATTCCTCAAGTTCCAGGAATTATAAATAATGCCCCAAAGCAGATGGCCAAAATCTATAAGCAAAAATGATCTCTGTTTTTATATATCTGTCTCTCTCCCTCTCTGTTGATTTGTATGTTTGTGTATCTGTTTATCCTGGCAGGCAGAGCCAGGATAAATGTAAATATGAATATGGAGACATACATAGATCTATAGCTATAGATATATAGGTATAGGCATATAGATAAATATATAGATATAGATAAGAAAGAAGAAACTCAGTCTCTCTCTCAGAAGAGATGAAAATCTGTCCTCAGTAATCAAGGTGTGAGGCCAGCTGCTGTGGTGTTGTGAGTATAAATTGGAACAGCCTCCCCTGGCCGGGCAGGTCAGTGGTTAGGGCATCGTCCAATATGTCAAGGTTGTGGATGCGATCTGCAGGGCACATATAAGACTCAACCAATGAATGAATAAATAAGCGAAACAGCAAACTGAAGTTTCTCTTCCCGCTTCTCTGTCTTTCTAATCAGTAGAAAATAGTAAATTGGAGCAGCCACTTTGGAAGCAGTTTAGCTGTATCCACCCAAGTTTAAAATATATGTGTCTTTGTCCTGACAGCTTTACTGCTGTGAACTTAGCCAGTAGGTAGACTCATAAGGACACACACACACACACACACACACAGGGCTGTGTGCATCATTGTTTTTAATAATCAAGAAATGGAAAGCTGGCAACTGTCTACCAGCCGGGCCTAGTTCACATGCATGTGACAGGACAGTGTGCAGTGGTTAGCAAGACCATGGTGTGTGTCGCCTGGAGACATTACAGAATCACAGCATCAGTGCAAAGGCAGGTTGAGGGCCTTCTGCGTGGAGCGACCGGAGAGGCACGCGGAAAGGTGGCATATGTATGCTGATGATGGACGACATCATTCTCAAGCGCTCACTGCAATTAGCGTTGGGGTAACTTCAGTTTATAACGTCTGGCAGTACTTACATATTTTTATGCCATGCGCTGCTCTTGTTTTTAACTAAATGAACAGATACACAGTTATCTTAAGGTCACCACAGCCTATAAGAGGTGAATCATAATGTTCGCTACTGAAAACATTTCATTAAAAAGTTAGCATTCCTAACTTTTTAATATGTAAGAGCCCTTTTCTGTGCGACCTGGTTTCTTCTGGCCCGTTGTTTTGGCCGTGCGGGCACAGTAAATTAAACTGCTCAGTAAATGCCCGCCATGGCTTTGCCAGCTCTGAGCACAGTCCTCCCTTTCTGCTCCTCTTGTGTGGGGACCGCTGTTGGGCATCCAGGCCAGAGGGCCTGGCACGCTGGTTTTGGGAACTAGTCACTCTGGCAGAAAGGAAAATGGTGGTGTCTCCGTCACATGGACACAGGTTATCAGAGATTCTTAACAATAAGACCATTAACAATTTTAATGTTTAATTTCTCCTGACTGGAGAAACAAAAAGAGGGCTGTGCAATGTTGAAGTTCTGTTTCTTGCCGATGTTTGTTCTGTGAGCCCAAGTGAGAGAGAAGCCGAGGCAGAGGCTTCTAGGTGAGGAGTGCCGCTGCCCAAGGACAGACAGCAGGCGTGGTGAGGGACAGGCCAGGAGTTCACTGCCGCCGGCTCCGCGGGGTTGCCTGCTGCAGGGCGGGTCCAAGGAAGGTTTGGAGGGCGAGTCCCCGGGCCTTCCTGGTGGATGGATGTGGATCTCCCTGAGGGGGGATGTGAGGAGGGCCTGGTGTTGAGGGGGGAGGTGAGGAGGGCCCTGGTGTTGAGGGGGGAGGTGAGGAGGGCCTGGTGTTGAGGGGGGATGTGAGGAGGGCCTGGTGTTGAGGGGGGAGGTGAAGAGGGCCCTGGTGTTGGGGCCAGTTAAACAGTGGCACTGTTTCCTGCAATAGGCAGCTTGGGAAGGGGAAAATGAAGAGTTTGAGATGCCTGTTTTGTGTCAGGAGGAAGGCAGTCAGGTGTGAGTGCTGGGCAGCCATCATCAGGTACATGACAGGACGGCCATGGGCTGGATGAGGTCCCCATAGGAAGGTACAGCCCTGGGCACACTCTAGGGTTTGGAGGAGGAGGAGCCAGTCAGGGAGCCTAGAGAGGACAGTGTTTAGGGAGGAGGGAGGAGTTCCGTGTGTTGAAGGCCACAGAGACCATAAGGAAGATTAGGTGAGGGCAGTGATCCCTGGGCCCCCACCTGGAGGCATGGATAGCACCTGGAGACACTCTGAGTGTGGGGCTGAGGATGGAAGCATCATTGTGGGAGGTGGGTGGGTGGGGGGGAGTGGAGAAGAGAGGCAGCAACTGCAGACCCCCTTTTCATTCCAGAGCTTGTGCTGAGCATGGAGCGGTGGAGTGTGGGCACGGCTAGAGCGGCATAGGGTCATGGAGGTTCATAAGTTTATGGTCTGCTGCAGAGAGAGCGCCTGATGGAGCAGACCAAAGGAGGGTCATGTAGAAGGACAGAACTTGAGGAGGCCAGAGGAGCAGGGATGGAGACAGTACCAGGAAGACTCAGTGCATGAGCATAGAGGTGTCGGCTGTGCCCTTGGTAGTGAGAAGAGGAAGGCACTCCTGGCTGATTGCTTAGATTTTCTCAGTAAAATGTGAGGTAGATCCCCTGTGGGGGAAGCAGGGGGAAGGGGAGCTTAGGGAGAGGGGAGGGAGTGAAGGAGTCATTGGCAGGGGCATCTCAAACATTCCAGGAAAGCAAAGTTGATAGCTGGGCAACGTTGAGTGCACATTGGAAAAATCCATGAAACTTGTGCACTTTTAAATGACCTTTTAGACGACTTCCTATCGGTATCATGGACCTGGAACCATGCTGGAAGTTTCTTGGGGAACATTTTAATCAGGACCTCAAGAACAGCAGGGAGAGGGGGGATTTGGGGGCAGCTGTGGAGTGGCTCAGGATGAAACTTGATTTCTATCCTTCAACCAATACCAGAAATCCCTTACATCGGGACATTGTCTCCCGCACAGCTACGAGGCTCTGTTCATTGGAACTACGTGAAGAATCAGAACCGACGTGATTTTATTTTTAAATAATGTTGACTCCGTCCCACCCCCTCCACAATGTTAAAACATTGCAGCATCGTGGAAAATTTGAAAAATTGAACTGTGCTGCAAAGAAAATTATGCAGAATATTACAATTCATAAATAACCATGGGTCATATCATGATTTGTTTATTTTGGTCATTTTCCTGCCATTATCTGTATACTAAAGACCCAGTGGTCATAACGCTGTAATGACCAAAGACCGGTCACCAGGAGGCGGCTGCGCAGCCAGGTGCACGGGGGTGGGCGGGGCTGCGTGTGAGGCGTGCGCGGGTGGGGACTCGGGGGGGTCCCGTGGTGCTGGCAGGACTCGGGGGAGTCCTGCGGGGTCTGGGTCCTGGGTCTGGTGCGATTTCACGCTCTGGGTCACTAGTATGTACATATGTGTGCATATATTTTCATTTATTTATTCTTAACTTATTCATACTTAACTTCTCTGGACTTGTGTTTCCTTTGTGAGGTGAAGATGACAAAGCTGTGCGCCTGCTCGGACTGTTGTGCAGATCAAATGCCTTCCTTCCTGAAGATGTTTACAATGGTGGCTCATAAAGAGTGTACCTAACGGTTAGCTGTCTTTATCACTAATTCTAACAGCACCGAACGGCGTTCGTAAACGCTGATAATGACAATGAAATCATTCTGGGTACTCATTATTATCATAATGTCTATAATCAGTGCAGACCTCCTGCTTGGAGAAAAATGTAGTTTCTTAGGAATTCAAAGTGATTCACTTGGGTTAAATGTTATCAGTCATTTGAGAATTTTAGAGAAGAGTCTATCCTTGAGCAGTTTAAGAAGATAAAGTGATTGTCTCTGTTCACTCAGCTCTTTTCTTCCTTGTTACAATATGGGATTTGGGGTGTGAGCAGTTTGTCCGGTAACTGGGGATCAGTGTCGAGAGGGTTCTCCTCCTCCCCACTTCTCCTTCTTTTCTAACTTCCAAAGGAGAGTGTCAGTTGTGGGGTGTAACACAGGGGAGACCACGGAACACCTCTGACCAAGTGACAGGGGCAGGGTCACCTGCCTTGGATCCTGGAGATGCGTTGGTTTTCCTGTGGACTCCCGCCCTGTCCTCGAGGCTGTGCAGGGCAGTGCCGGGGAATGTGGCGGGGAGGGGGGCTGTGCTAGGGAGCCTGTGGGGGGCAGTCCCTTTGCTGCCAGGACAGATCTGTGTGGGCTCCCTTTCCCCACTGAGCAGTCTCCCCCCTGTTACAGGGCACATGGGGCCCGTCAGGTGTTTCTAATGAGTTTCTGTTCTGGAAAAGGCACCTGATTATTGAGCTCAGGCACGCTGTCTTCCCCCACCTCAGAAACGTACTGCAGGTTCAGAGGAGGGAGCCAGCAGCTGAGGAGGCCGTGAGGATGGCAGAGTGCTCCGACCACGCAGTGCTGAGCTAAAATATCACTGCAACAGATGTGCCGGCATTTCCGTTAAGCAAAAGGACAGGCAGGGGAATGTAATAATTTTTCCTTACTGCTTGTCCTGACTGAAAGGTAGACGTGAAGCCCCTACTGGATGAATGAGAAATATAGAAGACAAGTTCTTATCCAGAAGTTCCGCTCGTCCGGTCTGTCTCCACCCCTTCTCACTCCCCCTCCCAGCTCCATCCTGCAAGTATAAGCCAACTGCCAGTACCTTAAAAAGAGGTCTGCCCAGCCGGTTTGGCTCAGTGGGTAGAGCCAGCGGACTGAAGGGTCCCAGGTTTGATTCAGGTCAAGGGCACATGCCTGGGTTGCAGGCCTAATCCCCAGTATGGGGTATGCATGAGGCAGCCAATCAATGATTCTTCAGGACCCTTACAAGAAGCAATCAATGAACTCATAAATAAGAGGATCCCTTCCTCTCTGAAATCAATAAAAAAATATATATTAAAAACAAAAAGAGGTCTAATTCTCACCCAGTTGGTGTGGCCCAGTGGTTGAGCAATGGCCCATGAACCAGGAGGTCTTGATTTGATTCCTGGTTAGGGCATATGCCTGGGTTGTGGGCTCGATCCCCAGTGGGGGGTCATGCAGGAGGCAGCTGATTGATGTTTCTCTCTCATTGGTGTTTCTATCTCTCTCTCCCTCTCCCTTCCTCTCTCTAAAATCAGTATCAATATAAATGTAAATATACACACACATGTACACAGTAGAGGTCCAGTGTACAACATTCGTGCACTGGGGGCGGGGGGGGTCCCTCATCCCAGCCTGCGCCCTGAGGCATTTCAGGACCCCTCAGGGGATATCCTCTCTGCTCCTTAGCACTACCATGGAGGCAAGAGAGGCTCCCGCAACTGCCAGTGTGCTCGCCAGCCATGAACCCAGCTTCTGGCTGAGCAACGCTCCCCCTGTGGGAGCACACTGACCACCACGGGGAAGCTCCTGTGTTGAGCATCTTCCCCCTGGTGGTCAGTGAGCATCATAGCGACCTTTGTTCCTCCGTTCGGTTGATTTGCATATTAGGGTTTTATTATATAGGATGGTCTAATTCTAGGCAAAGCTCCTTGGTTTCCTAATTACTTTGTTATAAATTCATGCAGTGAGTAGTGAATGTATGGGAAGCAAATGTAGAAGAGTGAAATTTATAAGCATCCTTGCGTTGTGCTGGAAGATTGTCAGGAACCCAGAAAGATGGTTGGGGTGACTAATGACGCTTTGGAACACTGTGCAGACAGGTATCGCTCATAGTGTTGACTTAACTGGTGAACGCGCTGTATAAACTTGTGTAATTGCTTAACCAAGCACAAAGCTTTTTGCCATTTATAGGTGAAAAATTTACTTAAAAGTTAAACATTTTTGCCTTTTCCCCTTCTCACTACGACACCTGCTCTGTTTCTGGGAAAAGCTCTCAATTTTCCCAGAAATGGAAATGGGGGCCTGTTCACCAGAAGGCAGAGGACTAGTTCCCGTGGAGAAATGAGTGACCAGGGCGGCGGGTTGGGGCTGAGTGGTTGGAAATCACGCTGGGCGTGGGGGGCTGCCCAGTCTTGCACTGAGGGCCACCATGTCCTTGTTTCCCATGAAGGAAACGCTAATGTTTTCCTGTGGTTTCCTCTGTGAACACTCTTCCCTCTGTGTCTCCCTAAGGCCCAGAATGCCCAGCAGCTGCACCAACACATCCAGTCGTCCAGCATGGACTCCAAGCTGGAGGCGCTGAAGAACTTGGCCAGCCTCTCCCGGGACGTCACCTTCGCCCAGGAGTTCATCAACCTGGACGGCATCTTCCTGCTCACGCAGATGGTGGAGAGCGGCACCGAGTAAGCCCCTTGCCCCAACATCCACCTGCCTGCTCTTCCTCCCCCTCTGCGCCCCCGCCGCCTGGGGGGCTGTTACTCCCTTACATTGCAGTGCCTACTTTTAAAGACCAGAAATTGACGAGGCTCAGGAAAAAGAAAAGAAATGGCTTTTAAGTTCGTGTCTGGGGAGCAGGTTTGTCACCTAAGTATCAGGAGATTGTCTACCCACCAAGGAACCAGTGTCTGAGTGGAGATATTCGGGCACGGGCCTGCATGGGTGGGCTAGGCAGGAGACCACCACAGCCATTTGAGTGGGTGCTGAATTCCATAATTAAGGATTCCATAAGGTGACTTGGAATTTCAAATTTATGAGAAAAAACATTAGGTCCTTATCTCAAAGGGCCTTTCCAACATTGAACTAATAATTCTACAAAATATAAAGCCCTCACATCCTTCGTCTATCTCTCTGAATGCGTTAAAAACAAATGAGAATAACTCCTTCCAGTCTCAAAGTCTTAAACCAGGTCCAAAATAGCGTGGCTAAAGTGTTTCCATCAATTAATGTGTGATTGATGAAATACATGACCTTACATATTTAAAATTAAATGCAGTCAACATTTATTAAATACTGACTGTATGCAAGAGTGGAAATTGGGAAATCTTACAAAGATGTGAGACTTGCCATCAAAAATGTGTGGAAGCAGAAGTCAACTGAGGCATAATTCCTCCTGGGCCCTTGAGTCTAGACCAGCCGTGGGCAAACTACGGCCCGCAGGCCGGATCCAGCCCGTTTGAAATGAATAAAACTGTTGAAAAAAAGACCGTACCCTTCTATGTAATGATGTTTACTTTGAATTTATATTAGTTCACACAAACACTCCATCCATGCTTTTGTTCCAGCCCTCCGGTCCAATTTAAGCACCCATTGTGGCCCTCGAGTCAAAAAGTTTGCCCACCCCTGGTCTAGACTCTAGAGGCTGGACAGGCCGGCTGCTCCGGAACCTTCCAGAGGAGTCAGCGGGCCATGAAGGAGTTTGATTCCATCCCCACAAGAAAGGGATGGGCTTTGGGGCTCAGGAGCTCGCCTCAGGGAAGGCGTTGCTTCTCTGGAGGGACTGGGGGGTAAGGAGCCAGAGGTGTGGCTCCTGCATGTGTGGGCAGGTCAAGCCCGGGACCACGGAGTGCCAGGGAGGGTCCACAGGACACGGCTCATCCATGTCCATGTGGTCAGTGCCACAGGCATAGACTGTGAGAGCATGTGGGTTAGCGCATGTGAGCATGCTGAGTCAGTTAATTACATATTAACATGCTAAATTAATAATGGGCAGGGTTGCCCTAGCTGGTTTGGCTCGGTGGATAGGGCATTGGCCTGCGGACTAAAGGGTCCCAGGTTTGATTCCGGTCAAGGGCACATGCCCAGGTTGCAGGCTCGCCCCCAGTGAGGGGCGGTCAGGAGGCAGCCAATCAGTGATTCTCATCATTGATGTTTCTATCTCTTCCTTCCTCTCTGAAACCAATAAAAATATATTTTAAAAAATAATGGGCAGGGTTGGGTAGGTATTTTTTCAGAAAGAGTACATATCATTGTGAATTAGGGTTTAAACCTGGGTCCTTTAAACCTTTTCAGTACCTGGCAATTCAAAGAATGAGCTGATAACTGCCTATTGGAGTCCTCCCAGCCCCCTCCCACCCTCCCTTCCTTCCTGTCTTCCTTCCTGTCTCCTCCCACAGGGTGCATTATTTAGCCTTTGCAATTGGCACCCATAAAAGATTCTGTTTTTTGTTTGTTATTCAGAGAGGATGTTTTCTAGTAACAGGAATAGCTCCCATATAAGAATGCTCTGTAGAGTCTGGCTGGCATGGCTCAATGGTTGAGCTTCAACCTGTGAACTAGGAGGTTAGTGTTCAATTCCCAGTCAGGCACATGCTGGGTTGTGGGCTCGATCCCCACTGGGGAGTGTGCAGGAGGCAGCTGATCAATGAATGATTCTCTCTCATGATTAATGTTTCAGTC